ATCGTTTTAAAAACCTGCTCAAAATCTCCCAAATACCGAATAATGCGGGGTACCGCTCAATGGGGACTACCCTTAAAAATGGACCAATGTAGATAATTTTTGGTATGGAGATTTTCTACCTTAGGAGAACTCAAAATACAAAATTACAGCCAATTCGATTGAAACAATTGCTTAAAATCCCGTAAATAGCGAAATTCGGAAGGTTCCCTCATATGGGGGCTACCATAAAAAGTCGACGCAAATTTATGATTTTTGGTGGGGAGATTTGTTACCCAATTATATGCCAAAATACTAAATTATAGCCAATTTTGATGAAACCATGTCATCAAAATCCCCAAAATAATGAAATAGTGAAGGTACCCTGCAGTGAGAGCTATACCGAAAGGTGGACCGATATTGATGATTTATGGATTAGAGATTCTCTATCCAATGAGAACCCAAAATACCAAATAGCTGCCAATTAGGTTGAGAAAATGTGCTCAAATATCTCTAAATATCGAAATTTGGGAGGTACCCTTCAATGGTGGCTACCCCGAAACATGGACCGATATTGTTAATTTTTGGCAGAGAGATTTTCTATCTTAGGAGAACTCAATATAACAAATTAAAGCCAATTCGATTGAAACAATTGCGGAAAATCCCCTAAATAGGGAAATTCGGAAGGCTCCCTTATATGGAGGCTACCCTGAAAAGTCCACCAATATTTATAATTTTTGGTGTGATGATTTGTTACCCAATGAGATGCCAAAATACTAAATTACAGCCAATTTTGATGAAGCATGTCCTCAAATTCCCCAAAATAATGAAATAGTGAGAGTGTCCTGCAGTAGGAGCTATACCGAAAGGTGGGCCGATATTGATGATTTATGGTTTAGAGATTCTCTATCCAATGAGAACCCAAAATACCAAATAACAGCCAATTAGGTTGAGAAAATGTGCTCAAATTTCTCTAAATATCGAAATTTGGGAGGTACCCTTCAATGGAGGCTACCCCGAAACTTGGACCGATATTGTTAATTTTTGGCAGAGAGATTTTCAACCCAATGAGAACCCAAAATAGCAAATTAAAGGCAATTTGTTTGCAAAAAATGTGCCCAAAATGCTTAAAACCCCGAATATCGGCGGGTAGCCTTCTATGTGAGCTACCCTGAAACATGAACCGATATTGCTTATTTTTGGCGGAGAGATTGTCTATCTAATGAGAACCCAAAATAGCAAATTGCAGCCAATTTGGTTGAAACATGTGCTCAAATTCCTCTAAATATCGAAATTTGGGAGGTACCCTTCAATGGAGGCTACCCCGAAACATGAACCGATATTGTTAATTTTTGGCAGAGAGATTTTCTGTCCAATGAGAACCCAAAATACCAAATTGAAGGCAATTTGTTTGCAAAAAATGTGCCAAAAATGCTTAAAGCACCGAATATCGGTGGTTAGCCTTCTATGGGAGCTACCCTGAAACATGTACCGATATTGTTAATTTTTGGCAGAGAGATTTTCTATCTAATGAGAACCCAAAATACCAAATTAAAGGCAATCTGTTTGAAAAAATGTGCCCAAAATGCCTAAAATATCGAATATCGGCGGGTAGCCTTTCATGGGAGCTACCCCGAAACATTGACCGATATTGTTAATTTTTGGCGGAGAGATTTTCTATCCAATGAGAACCCAAAATAGCAAATTGCAGCCAATTTGGTTGAAAAAATGTACCCGATACCCTTAAAACACCGAATATCGGTGGTTAGCCTTCTATGGTGGCTACCCCGAATCGTTGGCCGATGTTGTTAATTTTTGGTAGAGAGATTGCCTATCCAATGAGAACCCAAAATACCAAATTACAGCCAATTTTATTGAAAAAAAAAAATGTGAACAAAATTCATAAAATATCGAATATCGCATGTCCTCAAATTCCCCAAAATAATGAAATAGTGAGAGTGTCCTGCAGTAGGAGCTATACCGAAAGGTGGGCCGATATTGATGATTTATGGTTTAGAGATTCTCTATCCAATGAGAACCCAAAATACCAAATAACAGCCAATTAGGTTGAGAAAATGTGCTCAAATTTCTCTAAATATCGAAATTTGGGAGGTACCCTTCAATGGAGGCTACCCCGAAACTTGGACCGATATTGTTAATTTTCGGCAGAGAGATTTTCAACCCAATGAGAACCCAAAATAGCAAATTAAAGGCAATTTGTTTGCAAAAAATGTGCCCAAAATGCTTAAAACCCCGAATATCGGCGGGTAGCCTTCTATGTGAGCTACCCTGAAACATGAACCGATATTGCTTATTTTTGGCGGAGAGATTGTCTATCTAATGAGAACCCAAAATAGCAAATTGCAGCCAATTTGGTTGAAACATGTGCTCAAATTCCTCTAAATATCGAAATTTGGGAGGTACCCTTCAATGGAGGCTACCCCGAAACATGAACCGATATTGTTAATTTTTGGCAGAGAGATTTTCTGTCCAATGAGAACCCAAAATACCAAATTGAAGGCAATTTGTTTGCAAAAAATGTGCCAAAAATGCTTAAAGCACCGAATATCGGTGGTTAGCCTTCTATGGGAGCTACCCTGAAACATGTACCGATATTGTTAATTTTTGGCAGAGAGATTTTCTATCTAATGAGAACCCAAAATACCAAATTAAAGGCAATCTGTTTGAAAAAATGTGCCCAAAATGCCTAAAATATCGAATATCGGCGGGTAGCCTTTCATGGGAGCTACCCCGAAACATTGACCGATATTGTTAATTTTTGGCGGAGAGATTTTCTATCCAATGAGAACCCAAAATAGCAAATTGCAGCCAATTTGGTTGAAAAAATGTACCCGATACCCTTAAAACACCGAATATCGGTGGTTAGCCTTCTATGGTGGCTACCCCGAATCGTTGGCCGATGTTGTTAATTTTTGGTAGAGAGATTGCCTATCCAATGAGAACCCAAAATACCAAATTACAGCCAATTTTATTGAAAAAAAAAATGTGAACAAAATTCATAAAATATCGAATATCGATGGGTAGCTTTCTATGGGAGCTACCCCGAAACTTGGACCGATATTATTAATTTTTGGCAGGGATATTTTCTATCCAATGAGAACCCAAAATACCAAATTACAGCCAATTTAATTGCAAAAAATGTGAACAAAATTCTTAAAATATCGAAAATTTGGGAGTACACTTCAAAGGGGCTATAGCAAAACTTGGACCCATATATCCCATTTTCAATACCATAAATCCTAGGAGTGGTAGTAATGTATGTACCAAATTTTGAAGCTCTAAGTTAAATATTTGAAATCTCTACATTTATGTTCTTTATATTTGAGAATCAAGGGGATGGCTTTGCTTCGCATTAAAAAAAAAAAATCGCAGCTAATAGACCCTTTAAAAAAATCTGGTTGATAGTTCTCTTATCGAAATCTGTTTTTTGTGTGTCCTCATCTCACATTGAAAATTGCTAAATATTCGAAAAAATTGCAAAATAATTTTTTTCTGCCTTATTGTCATGCCCTGCCATTATCTGGTAATCATTTTTTTTTTTTTGATGGGGTCATTTATTGCCCCCCTCCCTATCAAAAAAATATATTTTAAAACAAAAAACTAAATCGAAGTTTCGTATTGAAAATAAAAAAGCCACATGGCTCATTGATTTCATATTGGACAGCAACAAAGAGGTCACTTCGGCTAATCGATAGTTAAACAATAACGACAATAGCAACAACTACAACACATGATGATCAATTCGAAATATTAGCTGGGCGATAAAAAAACAACAACAACAAAAAACTCTAAACAACAAAAAGGGGTATCTTTGTAGCTTTGACATGTGGCACATGCCATAACAATAACAAGAGTGATAACAAGAAGAAAATAAAAAAAACAACAACAAAAAAGAAATCAAAAAAAAAATTTTTTTTCAAAAAAAAAAAAAAAATAATAATGATCCGATCCACCTCCCCTTTTGGGCTAAAAATAAATGCACATGGGCTCGCAGCAAGCACACAGACACAGTCACATAGCCACACACACGCACGCACACAAAGAAAACAATTCTCCCCCACCCACAATGATTTTGCTCTGGCATGTTGCTGTGTGTGTGTGTGTATGGAGTCAATAAAAATTTGTCACTTCTAGAAATTAATTGCCCTTGAAACAACAACACCAACAACACCAACAACACCAACAACAGCAATAACACCAAATGCTACACAAACAAAGAACAACAACAACAAAAAGCTGGGCAAGAACCCCCTGACGCAGAAGAAAAAAATCCACCTAGTTAAAAAAAAGTGCTGTAATTTAGTAGTGCAAGCTGGAAGGACATTTAGTCCTTTTAGAATGCATAAAGGCTTGGACATGCAATCTTTGGCCAAGTCAACAAACAAACAAGACATATGGCCCATAGATTTTTTTCCACAAATTTTCCTAACTTCGAAAAAACTGCTGTTATATGCAGTTTCTCTAAAATCTAACCCCCAAAAGGATTTACCTTGCACAAACAGGAAGAAAAATAATCCTTTTTTGGTGGGCGCTACCTTTGCCAATCGCAAACACAGGGTAATGGCTTAATTTCTTTTTCCTGGCGAACAATTTCATTTCTCATTTCTTTTTTCCCTGCAAACACCTCTCTAGCCTAGGTGGTGGTGTTTTTTGCGACCCTAACAACTCAATTTATTGATTGCCGAGTTCGAACGAAGAACGATGCGTGCCGGACGCACTTAATTAACTGTGACAATCAATTTCGGTATGCAACTTATGTCTCAATTATTGGGTTTGTTTTTTTCCTTCTCCATTTGAATTGTTTGCCATTTTTAATGGCTTTCGGTTCGGTAGCTGCTCGTCAACGCGTGACCTATGGCTGTGCATGGTGCATTGTGGCGGATTTTTGTTTTTTTTTCTGGTCCAAAAACAAATTGCAATTTATTGGGTGATTTATGATAGTTCAAAGGAATATTTTTTTGTAGAAAAAAAAATAATAAGAGGAGAGGAGGGCTGGTACTTACTTGCTTGGTCACCGAATCGATGAGACGCACAAATATGTCCTGTTCTTGGCGGGCACCTGGAATGTGGGAGGAAACAAAAAATAATGATAATTAGAAAATAATCAGAGATATGAAAAAAAATAAAAAATCGATATGAGAACACAAAATAGGAGATTGTAGCCAATTCAACTGAAAAACGTGCCAAAAATCTCCAAAATATCGAAATTCGGGAGGTACAGCTATATGAGGGCTACCCTTAAAACTACACTAATTATAATAATTTTTTGTAGGAAGATCTTATACCTAATGAATATCCCAAATACCAAATACGAGACAATTTGTAGAAAAACGTGTCAAAAATCCCCCAAAATATCGAAATTCGGAATGTACCCTTATATGAGGGTTATACTGAGAAGTGGAGCGATTTCGATCATTTTTGGCAGAGAGATTTTATACCCACTGAGAATCTGAAATACTAAATTCGAGACATTTCAGTTAAAAAAAATGTGCCCAAAATTGGCAAAATATCGAAATTCGGGAGGTACCCTTATGTGATGGCTACCCTTAAAAGTGAACCAAAATTGATAATTTTTGGTATGGAGATTTGCAACCTAATGAGAACTCAAAATATCAAATTTGAGACAAATCTGTTGAAAAACTGACCAAAAATCCCCAAAATATTGAAATTCGGAAGGTATCCTTATATGGGGGCTACCCTTAAAAGTACAGCAATTTTAAAAAAAATTTGGTAGGGAGATTTTATACCCAGTGAGAATCCAAAATACCAAATTTGAGAAAATCCGGTTGAAAAACGTAGGTATCTAAAACCCCCAAAATATAGAAATTCGGAAGGTACCCCTAAATGGGGTCTACCCTTAAAAGTGGAGCAAAATTAATAACTTTTGGTAGGGAGATTTGACACCCAGTGAGTACCCAAAATACCAAATTCGAGACATTTCAGTTAAAAAATGGGCCCAAAATTGGCAAAATATCGAAATTCGTGAGGTACCCTTATATGGGGACTACCCTTAAAAGTGGAGCAATTTTAATAATTTTTGGTAGGGAGGTTTGCCACCCAATGAGAACTCCAAATATCAAATTCGAGACAATTTGTAGAAAAACGTGTCAAAAATCCCCCAAAATATCGAAATTCGGAATGTACCTTTATATGAGGGTTATACTGAGAAGTGGATCGATTTCGATAATTTATGGCAGAGAGATTTACTACCCCATGAGAACTCCAAATACCAAATTCGAGACAATTCGGTGGGAAAACATGCCTAAGATCCCTAGAATATCGAAATTCGGGAGGAACCTGAAACTGAAAACATCGAAATTCGAGGGGTACCCTTATGTGGGGGCTACCCTTAAAAGTCAACCAAAAATTATAATTTTTGGTTGGAAGATTTGCTACCCAATAACAACCCAAAATACCAAATATGAGACAATTCTTTTCAAAAATCTGTCCAAAATCGGCAAAATATCGAAATTCGGGAGGAAGCTCATATGGGGGCTAACCTTAAAGGTCGAGCAATTTTGATAATTTTTGGTATGGAGATTTGCAACCTAATAAGAACTAAAGATATTAAATATGAGACAATTCGATTGAAAGATATACCCAAAATCCCCACAATATCGAAA